TGGACTAGATGACCTACAAGGTCCCTTCCAACTCTGATTATCTGTATCTGTATCAATCCTTGCTCAACTACAAATCCCTAGATGAAACCAATCTTTGAGAACCGTTGAGAAGATAAACAAGGAATATCTTTATATATGCTGCCAAGAGTTATTTGGGGGAAAGTTATAATCTGCAGGCTGCAGACATATTATAGCATGAAACATAATAGTTATCTTCCAGTTGGGTTCTGTATATGTTTACAAACTATCATAACATACTATAAGAATTAAATATCAAACTAGCAGTAATTATTAAAGAGAAACATACATTGCGGTATACAAATACTCTCAATTCTTTTCCACCCAAAGTTTCTAGCTTCTGTCCATGGAAAAGGTATTTAGAAGAAAGCTGCTCTTTGATTATATGATTTTGAAGCAAATTTCTGTTTGCTGAAGGACTGTGATCTGCAGAAAAAAAAAAAAACCATTATTCATACATTCAGATCAGCACACAGTCAATTGATTTCATTTGAAAATATATCCAGACGGAAGCATCTGTATGAGATGACAAAGGTGGCAAATTATAAAAGCCGTGCTACGATGCACGTTCTTCCCTTTTACACATGCATCGAGATTTTGCACACACATACCAAAAGGCATATGTTGCAACATTGCAATAGCGCTTTCATCATTTTAACCAATCCTGTGGATGCCTCTGCATGAAAAGGTCATAGAAACAAAATTAGCATTTCCTCCAACTTTCTCTCCCCCTCCTCTGCGATAGTCTAAGCAATGAACAACAATTGCATTTTTCAGCCTATTTACAGCAGAAATCTCACAATTTTTCATCTACTCCTCCCCACCCATGTTCAATTCCTCCTAGGTTGTTACCAGATAGATATTCTAAAAAAAAAAATCATTCTGGGTTTTGGCCGGCATGGTGATGGTGGTATGAAAACCCAAATACTTGGGGACTTTCCATTATGATGGCCTCCAGATATGTTGAATTGACATTCCCCAACCTACCACCCAATTTATTTTATTTATTGTTTACTTATAGTACTTTTATACTACTCAATTCGATCATGAAAGCTTACAGTTTATGCTAATAGCTTAGAACATATCTATTCTATCTGGAAGCATTTGCTGTCACGTAAATTTGCATGCACTAAAACCCACTTTGATATGATATAATTATATACTAAGGATATTTAGGATGTTGTATACACTATTTTATCCTCTTTCTCCTCATTTTTTGTCCCACTGCTCCAACAATTGATCAGCAATCTATTTTAATATGATAGATCTACACTGGGTCATTTGTAAATCTTTAACAATTTTATGTTTAACGTTTTGACTCTCTTATGTATAAATGACCTTGTTTTAACTAGCTAAGAATCAACTTTAGGAAAATGTGTGTGTGTGTGTGTGTGTGTGTGTGTGTGTGTGTGTGTGTAATTGAGAACTATTACAAATCCTGAATTCCAGCAAAAAAGAGTAGGATTGGATATGGTTTTGTAATGCAATCCTACTAATTAAAAATTATTCTTAGCAGTTAATTCAAGTAGAAGGCACATCCAAAGGCACAATTCCAGGCACGGGAAGAGGGATGTGCTTTCTACCTCTCCCTCCATTTCAGCTTGTTGATTGGACATGAGGCACTTAATGACAAACAGGTCTCACTGTATAAGAGTTCAAGTATACAAACCTTTGTAGAAAGAATTGATGGGAGCCAGGACTGTCAAACGCTCATTCCCAGTAAGATGTGAACCGAGACCAACTTGTCTAAAAAGGTCAATAGATGTTGAAACATCGGATTCCTTTCCCAACTCCAGCAGAGTTTTAGCTTCAATTAAAATAACAACAACAGATGTCAAAATGGATTTCATAATTATTATACATATTAAAACAGTACCTGATAAAGGGGCAGGATTGTATTTGTTAAAACTAAAAATAATAATCATACTTAAGTGTGCTTAGTGAATTCAACAGGGCATTGTTTTTTGTTTATTTGTTTCTTTTATTTATTCATTAAAATTTCTATGGCTGCCCCTCTCAATCAACTCTGGGTAGCTTATAATTCAGAAAATACTACATTACAATTAAAATTCTAAAAACATTTTAAAACACTAAAAATATCCCGATACATGGGAGCAAGGTATTTGGCCAGTTCGCAATACAGACAAGAAACTGGGCCCTTCACACACTCAGCAATCCAGACACGGGAGCATAGACAAGTTTTTAGGGCCTTACAAAAGACTAAGATTGGGGGCACTTTAATCTCCAAAGAGAAGATATTCCATAGAGTAGGGGTCACTGTGGAAAAAGCTCGGTTTTTTTGGTCCCTGTCAGCTGATACTCTTTGGCTGTCAATATTTGCAGCATGCCCATTCTACCTGATCTCCTTGGGTGAGTAGAGATTCTTGGAAAAAAGCAATCCCTCAAGGACCCCTATGACTAATTTGTCATGACTAATTCCACTGGTTTCAATGAGTGCAATTTAGGCTTAACTAAATTTGGATCAAAACAGTTTCAAAATTATTCAAAAACAAATCATTCTTCATGTTTTTAGTTTCTTCCATGTTTTGTTTAAACAGAAAGAATTAGCACTGCCATTCCGTATTTCTCCTTATTTCATTTTAGAAGTTGAAAATGATAAAAAAAAAATTAATGAAGTAAAGCATCTTCCTAATTATACACAACCTTTGTCAGGGTGAAAAATATCTAGTTTTAGCCTGATTGTCTCTTGCCCATTTTCATAATTATATCTGCCTGAAAGTAATTTGCGGTTGTTGTTTTTTAACAATACCTACCACTTCTCAAAAGTATAGGGAACATGCAAGGATCAGAATCTCTATGAACAAGGAAGCGTACATTATAGGATGGGCATAAACTATATGCAATTTCCATTTTCCTATTTCACATTCATTTCAAACGGGCAACAATGAATAGTTCTATAAACCATGTTGGAAGAAGAGGAGGAGGAGGGGGGTGTTTACCAGAGTCTGGGATGAGAAGTTCATTGATCATGTGTATCACTCCATTTGTGGCCATTACATCCTTGTCAGCAATGATGGACTTTCCATTGAGAATCAGCTGGTTGCCAACACAGCTTACTTCCAACATATGACCCTCTAGAGTTTCCATGGATAAACCGGCAATAATAGCTTCAGCACACATAGCTGTTTTTAAGATGTGGTTGTTCAGCAGTGCTATGGTAGGTGAATAGAACATAGTAAGCGGAATATTTTTTTAAAGTAGTTTGTACATCTCTTCTAGTGATTGGTAAGCCATGGAGTGAAAATTAAATAATATTTCAGAACAACAGCAGGCAGACGTGCTCAATATGTTTGTTTATAAATAGGCAAAATAGTCAAGCTAAAAAAAATCTTGCAAATTGCTCAGTGCAGCTTTCTCTAATCTAATGCCCTCCTGATATGTTGAGTCTACAACTCCTAGAATTATATCTGGAGGATAGGCTGAGAAGGGTGGACTCATTGTTTTAGTTCATTGCATATATAAAAAAAGAGATGCTTGTAGTCTCCAGTCTGCCTGGTCATACAAGCAAATCAATTATAAATACAATACTTAAGGACAGAGGAGCTGCTTAAGGACAAGGAAGGAATTCTACTAGTCTGAGCCAAGGAGGAATCAGTTGCTTGTTCCAAATCCAACCATCCTCTCATCATCATCATCATCATCCATAAAGGGGAGATTACTATTTGCAGACATTCTGTAGCCATTTCTCTAAGAGAGTCCTGCCCAGTAGTGGTAAAATTCCTTTGTTGGAACAGTTGTTGGAACTATTGGAATAAAAATAGTGAGGGATAGAAACTTGTATATTGTAATAATATCATTATGTATCCAGAGAACCCATACAGGCTGTCTCCAGGTTGAGAACATCTGACTTATGAACAATGCATACTTACCAATGGGCTGGTAATGTCACTAAAAATGGCAGACGGTGTTGTCCTTCCTTGAGCCAATGAACCACTGATGGTGCACAATGTTTTTATAAACCACTGAAGTGTTTTTTTTTAATATACTGCCTGTTTTCAGGAGTGTTCAGCAGTTCATGTAAACACTGCATAGCATCAGTAGTTTATCAGCTGAAAGAAGGAAAAGCCATCTGTCATTTTTAGTAATAGGCAGTCTATTCATAAATATGAGTTCCAACTTACATATTTCAAATTAAACACAGAACCCATTCAAATGGAACAGAATCCATTCTTAATCCAGGAACTGCCTGTAGTCTTCAAATCCATTCTAAGCCTTCCTTACTATACTAAAATATTTCTTTGCTAATAAGTGCTTATATAGTACAGTATAGTTCACATATACAAAATCAGGTACATTTATTTCCTAAAGATAAGATGTTTCTCAACTCTTACTGAACGCATTTGTTCAGATCCTTGGCAAAACTGAGGATTGTTTCCCCGTTTAAAAGTACAGACAACTGGTCTAAATTATACTATGCTTTGGCTTTAGAAATGAATGAGTGTTGTTTATTTTGAGGCCCATCTAGTGTCATCAAATACATCATTAAACATTCTGATTGCTATTGTTCATCTTTCCCCCCATAGAAAGTGCTGACCAGCTTCCTCAGTTCTCTCTGCATCTGATTTCTTGGTCATGAGTCAATGCTGACACAGCTTTCTCGAGGTTTCCTCTCTCCATTCCTGCCTTCAAGTCAGCACAAGGGTTGAAAAAGCTCATTGCCAAAGCAGTGACTCATGTAAACATCGTATACCAAAAGAGTTTAGGAAGAACCACCACTGTAGTAGGGAGGCATCCAAACACTGCAAACTATTACTCCAGTCAGGTTCCTTCCATTCATATATAACTTGTTGGTATAACAGTTGAACAGAGAGCAAAAGGGACACACTATCAAAGCTTTTGCCTCTCTTAGCTCTAGATCAGGGGTGTCAAATCCAATTTCATTTGGGCCACATCAGGGTTGTGTTTAACCTTGGGGGCCAGGATGGATGTGGTCAGTTTGACATCACTCATGCTGGGGTTGCCTTTGGAGATCTGAGCGCTCGCCCAGTGAAAACGGGCTCCCGAGCTCTGTTTTCAGCTGCGACAGCTTCTTGCAACCCTCTGCCAGTGAAAACAGAGCTCAGGAGGGCCATCTGTGGCCCTCACAACTCCATTTTTGGCTGCGATGGCACCCTGAACCCTCTGCCAGTGAAAACTGAACTCGGGAGGGTCGCAGAGCTCCATTTTTGCTGGAAGAGGCACTGTGGGCCAATCCTTTGCTGTTTCCAGGGCGGCCCTGTAGGCTGGATCTAAGTACGCCATGGCCCGGATCCGGCCTCCAGGCCAGGCCTTGAGTTTGACACCCTTGCTCTAGATCATGAGAACTGACATCTTGATTAAAGTTTTATTAGATTTCAAAATAAGTGGCCTAATTCTTTAATTAGAACCTCTAGTTAAAACCGAAAGGCAATTTCATTTGTTCAAATGAGTTGAAAAGCCTAGTGACTAGGTTCAGTCCATTTTTAAATATATAATGTTGCCTTAGATTATAAGGTGATATGCACATATGTGTATTTACATTCACATACACTATGTATACCCAAACATACGTTACTTTCACAAAGTAGAAATAAAATGTAATTTCATTAGAAGTTTAAATAAAGTTTTCACCACAAAATACAAAAAAAAAATCTTTGGATTTCATAACTGAGAAAGACCAAAAGTCTCCATCAATGGTACATCAGATAAGCTGATCTCATACTATACATACCTTTAATATTAATGCTAATAATATTTAAAAACTTGATTAATTCTCCCATACAAGTATTTATTTCTTATGAAAATAAGAACATCTTAAAAGAATATGATTCAAAGGAAGATTCAGCTTTGCCAAGAGAATGTTGAAACGTGATTTCTATATTTCTGAAAGGATGAATGATAATGAAAGCTAAAATGGTCATTCATAATCCTCAGAATAGTGTGTTATACCTCAATACAGTTCCTGTCATTTGTAACCATAATTTACTGTCTCACTATAATTCAAGGGAATAAAGAGGATTGAACAGTAATAAATTTCAAAAATACATTTAGCTTCTACATAGACTCAAATCTCTGGTGAAAGCAATAGACTTTCTATGGTATTATTATTATGGATAGATTGTAGTTATTTACCTTTCAGAGCTCCTGGGTCTCCCAGGATCCTGTTTAACATTTCTTTAGGGATCTTCTCAAAAGCTTCATTGGTTGGTGCTAATAAGGTAAATTGACCTTCGCCATCTAAAAGATTATTGAGACCAGCTGCTGCCACAGCAGTCTTTAAACAAATGGAAAAGAAAGAGAATTGTTTAAGTTAGAATAAATCTAATAAAGTTGCCGATTACACAAATTTCAAAGAAAGTGATCTCACGTTCCATTGGTGTAAGGAAATAAGAACGAAATCATTTCAGATGAACTTACCCTGAGAGTTTCAAGACTTTCTTCAATCTCTACAACTTGCAGGATACTGTTGGAAGTTGTAGAAATGACTTTGTCTATCAGATGGACTACTCCATTGGTAGCATGATGGTCAGCCTTCAGCAATCTAGCACAGTTCACAGTCACAATCTGGAATGGGCATGACAGGAATAAATGAAAATGAATATATTGTTGGCATTAAATGTCTATATTGATTTGAAGGATGGCATAACACAAGAAGGGTATCATTAAGAGAGAATGAATCTAGAGATTGCTTGTGTAGATCGGACAGAATATTTTGAAGAATCTATAGATTTTACAAATAGCTATTTGTAAATTAATACTTTTACTTTAATAAAAACTCATAAAGTTAAAGATCAATTTCAAAGAACACCTTTTTACTCAAACTTTTTTACTTGAACACAAACATCTAAATCCAAGGCACTGAACCTATAAAAACTGATGCATATATAATTCACTGCTTTTCCTTCATATAATTTGTATTATATTCACTCTACACCTATGTCCAGTAGAAGTTTTCCCCCTTCTGTCTCAAAATAATTTAGCAGTTTTCTTTTAAATTATATATTATAATGAAAATATTATATGGCTGCAGGGAGATGTGAATAAAGGAGCTGTGTTCAGTTTTTTAAAATCTTTGCATTCCTACAAACATGCTATATACATATATTCATCATAACGGGTATGATAACATCTCTTTAAAGGGTTTATTTATGGTAGCAACTCCAGATAAAAACAATTTAAAAAACTAGTCTTCTATTTTTTTGGCTATCATACTGTAGAAAGTTAATTTATATTAATATAACTGGCTACATTATTAAGCCATCCAAAATGAAATAATCTTATCTTCATCCAGTTAAGTCTAAGTTAAGCAGGGGTGAGATTCTACCAGTTCACACCTATTCGCTAGAACCGGTTGTTAACATTCTAAGCAGTTCAGACAACCAGTTGTTAGAAGAAATTACCCGCCTAATCCTGTAAGGAAGGCAGGAAGGAAACATTTTGGTGTTGCTTACTGAAACTGCCTCTTTGTTAACCCTTATTACATTCTTGGCAGGACTAGACTTCCTGTCTCAGGAACTTCTCTTGAGTTTTTTTCCCTTCCTTGGCTGGTACTTTGCTTGTGTGGAGTGACCATTCAAAGTTACAATGGCATTGAAAAAAGTGACTTAAGACCATTTTTCACACTTACGACTGTTTCAGCATCCCCACAATCATGAGAGGCCAGGCGAGGAGATGTGTGCCGCGATGTGAGTGATGTTGAGTTGGCCACACCCAGCCAGTCCCATGACCACCAAGCCATGCCTACCAACTAAGCCACGCCCACAGAACCGGTTGTTAAAAAATTTGAATCCCATCCCTGAAGTTAAGTCTGTGCCCAACTGTATTTGTAAATTTACCAGATACTTACTCCATTTGGGTAATGATGAATCTTGATGTCAATATTCTGGTACATTGAAGGGAGAGAAAGCCCGTGTTTTAGCTCGTCAGTTAGGACTCGTTTATTCACCATGTGATATCGCAGAGCATTTAGCAGCTCAATATTGACATTGCTCACCAAAGAATCCAACACTTCCTAAAATCAAGAAATCATATTAAAGAGTTGGCTGTTCTGAGCATCCTATCCCAGGTCTGGTCTTATGTATTTTACGTGACTATTTCTATCTGCTTTCTGCCTGGTAGGAGGTAGGGAACTGTACAAGTTTCCCTAGAGTGAGAATTGAGAGCTATGCCAGAAAAACAGCAGTTGGTATCTCAACATTTTCTTAACATAAATTTTCCTTACATCTGCTTCCTTTTCCAACCCAACGCATTAAAGTACAGCTACCCTAATTCTCAGTTAACATGGTTAGTAACAGAACAATTTGGAGGCACTATGTTGAGGTGGCTTACCCTTGAGAAAAGGAATGTTGCCTTTCCAAGTCGGAAACCAAGCTAATGAATGGGGTGCAGTGATAACTTCAAATTCAGTCAGTGCAACAATATCCACAGAATTTTATTGTTTTCATTAGATTGATGAAAGCACTGGTAGCAGTATTATGCCACAAGTTCTTACATTTTGAAGCAGATGTGCAACATTGCAACAGGTGTATAAAAATGGGAAAGCTTGTGACGTGATAACCCAACACTACTTTAATTAGTCTGATGCCCTTGTCCTCCTTCAGGAGACACTGGCTCAAAATAAAGACAAAGAATCTACTTTTTGATTGCCGATCTGACATTCATCTCCTACATTCTTTTGCAGTCTAACTTGTTCTTAGCTTTCATGAGCCTGGATAGATATAGTGATATCCCCCTATTTGCCGCACATAGTTTATATAATTCCACTTAATCTCATATTTTTAAAAAATATGTCAAGCATATTTCAATAATATTTCTGATAAAGACAAGGCAAATGTTTCATTTCACAGGCATAACTCTGGATCCAACTTCTTCACATTTATGTATTCTTAGTTTTATTCATAATGATTGGTTAAAACCAAGCTTAGAGTTCTATCACATGAGGAATTCCACTCATGTTGAGCAACATGCAGCTGCCCTAGACTTACAGCAGGCAGGGATGCCCAGGCTTCATTGGTGGGGGCAAAGATTGTGTAGCTGCCAGGGCCTGTGATTTCAGCACTCAGGTTAGAGCTGGCAGAATAGAGCTGAGTGGTGGTGGCTCCGACAACTCCAAGTGTCTCATAAAGATTGACAAGTGGCAAAGCTGTTAAAAATAAAGGCATATCTCTTTAGCAAAATCATAGTCAGTTAAGAACAAAATCTATTCTCTTTCCCTCTCCCTTTCCTTCTCCCTCTGTCTCTCCCTCCCTCTCTTTTTCTCTTTCTCTTTCTGTGGTGCCTTCAAGTCAACATTTACTCCTGGTGACCACCTGGACAAGTCCTTGTAGTTTTCTTGACAAAATTTCAGAAGTGGCTTAGCACTGCCTCCTTCCTAAGGGTGAGAGGGAGTGACTGGACCAAGGTCATCTAGCTCTGGGTTTGTCTCTAGGGCGGAACTAAAACTCCCAGTTTCTAGTCTCCTGCCTTAACCACTATATCAAACTACCTCCCTGGTTAGGGTTAGATAACCAGAATTAGAATAAAATAACACCATTAAGAATAAGATAATTA